CTCTGCGGGGCGCAGTGCCCAGCCACAGCGCCCAAGCTCGTGTGATGGAGGGTTCGTACTTACTGCACTTCGTGCCTCCTGCGGGGAAATCTCTGCCACGTGGAAACGTAATTAAAAACCGCTTAGGAAATCACGGTCTACCGGTTAACAAGCAGCAGTTGCAGGGAGGAATCCTGTTTGCAAATCCTCGTACAAATCTACCAGACGATAACCCTGTGAGTGTCCTGTTGAAGTCTCCCAAAGGAAAAGCCCGTGGGCAAGATAATAAAGACTATGTTTTCAGAACGGGTTGAATTGGGCGCTGTGAATAGACACCGGGCCTTCTGTTGTTAACATTTTATTTTCTTTTCTCGCCTAGTTAAAGTGCATAGTGCTAAAATGTAAGGAAGAGAAGAAAAAGGAACAAGTTAACTTTGCACGGCTAACTTTGCTCCTGGCGCTTCTGAACGATGGAGTGCGCGGTTTGACAAGGTGCTTCACAACAGACGTACTGCTTCTGTTGTCATGTTGACTGCAGGGAAGTAACGGTCAGTGCTGAGGGCCATCGTGCTGCCGCTTTTGAGACTCGGAGTCCCTTCGGTGACTTCGGTTACTCTCCAAATTGGGATTGCAGCGTGCGCATTGCTTAGCCTTTGCCTAAAGGGAGAGAAGGGGCTTTTTGGTTTCTGGAATGGCTGAGAGGTGACTTTGCCCGGTGTGCAATTCATGGTGGTTACGTCTTCTGTAGCCTTTCGATCGCTGTTTGGTACTTGTGATTGAGTGTTGAGGGGGCGTTTTGGGCCATGTTTCGGTTTTGTTTTAGTTTTTGAGGAGGGAGGGGGTGTTGGTTAATTTTTTTTTGTTTGTTTGTTAAGCTTATTTACAGTTTTGGAGGCGTTAAGGGATTTCTGTGTGTCTGCATGGGGAAGTAAATACCTTAGTAGTGTATTCCTGTAGCTTCTTGACGTGTTTTTTTACCCCTGTAGTTTTAAAATGGAAAATTATCTGAGACAGTCCTGTTTCTTGACCCTTGTGAAATACAGCTTTACAAGCACAAGTTCCAAAGACGTTCCGTCTTAGAAATCCTTTTAACGCCTCATTTACTAAACGTTGTATTCCCGTATGCGTTGAGTGTTAGGAAATAGTTTTTTCCAAGGATTTGTTTTCAGCAGGGACAGCGTGCTGAGAAATTTATACACAACCGTTCAAGTGTGGGGAGGGCACTGCGCCCACCGGTCACAAAGCCGGTAAGGCGTCCCTCGCTGAACGCCGGTTATCTGCGGACGGAGCTGCCACCCGCCCCTGTGTGCAGAACGCAGGTCGCGGGCTGTCGGGGTGGTGGGCACGCTGGGGCAGCCCCCTGTGCTGGGCTACGTCTCGGTCAGGCTCCCGCAGTCGGCTTGCTGGTCCTATCTCTTGATCTCCTGCAGTGGGGAGGTGGGAGATCAGCTAACTTGTGCTGTGCCAATGCAAACAGATTAAAACTGGGTGCTCTGTAGGGTCCCCACTGCATTTTCAGAACTACAGCTGCAAGGCCATGTCCTTCAGGTGTTTGCTGTTGTGAATGGCTCTGAGAGGTGGGGTGGGACTAGCTGGAGAAGCTGGTGGCCAGGACACGCCGTGCCGCGAGAAGTCTGTGTGGGTTTAGTTAAGAGGTAAGTGGAGGTAGAAGCGGATGGTACCGTGCGGGGAGGGCTCGGTGTGTCCGAGGAGCGTTCCTGGGGCTGTCCTGGGGGCAGGCGCGCGGCGATGGTCTGTATGGCACCTTGCCTCCGGCTGTGCTGCCGCCAGCCACGCGCTCCTGAACGTCTCCACTGGTGTTGCCTTGAGGAGCTGCTGGTGGGGCGATCTCTCTGAGATGGCGGTGGTCAGCGATAACCTGAGCCCGAGCTGCCTACAAAAAAGGTGTTGGGGGGAGAAGACTCCGTAACTTACAGAAACGTGGTCTGTTTCTGCTGCCGGTCCTGGCCAGGACGACTGTGGGAAATTGTTAAATCTTAATATGCCATCGCTCCGCAGCACTTCACTTACTGTCTTTTTCCCTCCACCCCACTCTCCCTTTTGTCTTCCGAAAGCGTCGGAGTCTCCCGGCAGAGCCAGTGCCGGACCCGTTTTTTTGTGACGGTGGCAGTGACGTTCTGCGTCCTCGCCCTCGCGGCGGTGCTTGTGGCGTGTGCCTGCCAGGGCCGGCGCTGCGCCTGGGGCAGGGCGAAGCAGCCCAACGTGGAGGAGCCCCTCTCCGAGTGCAACCTGGTGAACTCCGGGAAGACGCTGAAGGATCTCATCTACGACATGACGACCTCTGGCTCCGGCTCGGGTACGTGGGGGCTGCCCGGCCTGCCGCCCTCGACGCGGCTGCCGTTACTTTGCTGCTGATTTTCGGAGCATCAAGAAAATTTGCTTAAACCAAAGGCAAACGTGCCATCATGCTTGTGGGGTGATGAAGGACGTTGCCTGCGGGCAGGGGGTGCGAGTGGGGCTCTTAACTCAGAGGCTTTTACACTGGTGACGGGTTTTATGTCAAGGGACGTTTTGGGCCAATACGCTTGGCCACACCTTACAGCGGCAATAGGGCTTTGTTTGCTCCTCTGCTGTTAAGTTACAAAAGTTTGATTCATTCTTTGAATGGAAGTGTTAAAAATGTTAATTCAGAAGTCGGTTTCAAGTGTCAAACAAAATATTGCTGGCTGATGTGCCATAGCCCATAATAAAAGGTACTACATTTAACTGAATGAGTCAGGATGCCACTCCTGAAATTTTCATACCGGTGCCAAAATAACATTACTCCAAATTCGTGTTTTGAGAAGAACACCAACCTTTTTAATATTTTTCCTCTTCGTGATATCCTATCTACTATGATGCCTCCATCGCTGTTGAGAACTTGTTAAATCGAAAAAATGCAAAAATGAGGTGGGAATTCAAAAATTCCAGCTCATCAGGCTGGTGGCATGACTGGTGTGTACAGCCCAGCTTTCTGTAACTAGAATTTTTATTTACTTGAAGAATATGTAAATTATGCTTACTTTTATTTATAAGTGAAAAATTTATAAATGGTGCTTAATTTGATTTGGTTTTATTTTCCACAAACTACATACCTTTCAGAATTAATTTATTGTACTTCCCTAATGTTTTTTCACAGATATAATGAGTGGACTTTGGCTTTATTTACCCTGAAGTTTTAGCTGTTTAATGACATCCCTGAGCCAATGACAGGGCCTTACTTGTGCCGACCCGCGGTGGAGGCACAGAGCCTGATGCGCAGCGGTGTGGATTGCGGTGATTTCAGGCAAACGGTGCGTTTGCCGCGCTCTGCCGAGAG